GGTGAAAGGTGCCACTGAGACATGTCCTCAAATTTAAGTCCATGCTCAAGGTCATGTATTATCTTGTAGACGAGGATAAGATCACCTCTTTGCTGTCTGTAACACAGAGGGAATAAATTAACGCAATTCAGTCTGTCTGTGTAGGATTGGCTTTTTAGACCGTTTACCAGCTTTGTTGCACGCCGTTGTACTCGTTCGAGGCATGCTTGGTCCTTTACTAACCATGGCTGCCATGCTTGTATGCCATATTCTAAGTTGGGCCGAACAAAAGTGCCGTAAACTCTCCCTAAAGGGTCTTGGTTAAAGTTAACGAAAGCCCTTTTGATTGAATGCAGCACTCGCATGGCGTTTCTTGCAGCCCTCGGGCACTACACTGTTGGTTTCAGGTTGTTCTGTATCCAAACCCCGAGAACCTTCTGTGAAGATTCTGCGGGGAGCCTTATATCTTTCAGGTGATATGTCCTCAGGCTCTCATTTGAATGAGAGTTGGTTGGGCGCAGATGAAGGACGGCACACTTCTCCACATTGAAATCTAGAAGCCATTTCTTCGACCACGCTTGCAGTCGGTGCAGATTATCTTGAAAGGATCTCTGATCATTCGGTCCCTTAATGACTTGCCAGAGCTTAACATCGTCTGCAAACATTATTTTGTCGCAGTCGAGTTCCTGAAGGTTGTCGTTGACGTAAAGGATGAAGAGCAATGGTCCCAGAACTGAGCCTTGCGGCACACCACTGGTCACGTTCACCTATTCTGACATATCATCCCCGATACAGACATGTTGTTTTCGACCAGGCAGAAACGCCCTAATCCAGTTCAGAAGATTTCCCGGATGCCGATGGCGCTCAATTTGTGAAGAAGACGTTCGTGCGGGACAGTGTCAAAAGCTTTGCGGAAATCGATGTACACGACATCTACCTCAAAACCCTCTTCTAGAGCCCTCGTCCAGATCGCTAGACAAGCTAGTCTATTTGAGAGGCAGACAGTAGCTGTGCCTATGAACACAACAATTAAAAGACGAACGACATTTGTTTGAATAGGATATTTAAAGCTATGGTCAATTGCAAGTCACTAGGAAGAATACAGGTTAATCAGAACTGCGCTTCCAGTACGGGGCGACAGAACGAAGGCCTTAATCGTAGAGACCAAAATCCTCGAACCATTGTGAACCAAGCACAAAATCCATTCATTTAAACACTCCAAAACGAACTAACGGACAAGCATAGGTAAGAATTTTAACGATTATTTATAAGTCGGTCACCCTTCCGCTCCTATTATGTTATTTGCGTAAATAACGGAAAGGCTTTGCTTATACAAGGATTGCTTATACAATCCTTCTCTTTATCCTGGCAGTGGGGTCCATCTCTGTAAAAGACTGCTTTCGATATCAAAGTCTGTGCAGAGGATTTACATTTACTACACTTGGACTTGCAACTATTCCTTCCGCAGATTGCGAAACATTACGGATATTACTCATGTTTGTAAGTAAGTCCAAGTAAGTTCATCCAGTCAACAGGAATGACGATACCTATTAATATTTATCGATGATATCCAACTGCTTATTATACATTTCCCTTATGACCATGTACTTTGTCCACACTTTGGTCGGCTGCTGCCTCACAGTCCCTTTCTCTGAAAGAATTGCCTTGATATTCCTCATATCAACGCCAGTGCAGCAAATAACCCCAGGAACTACCTAAATTAGAATGACAGTATTTCCACAAGCAATCAAGAATTCATCTATTTATAGTAACGACTCTTTTGCTTATCGTGTGACGGACATTATCAGTGCAAACTTAACACACATTTGAACACCGAAATTATGCATAATGATTCTAAACTTAATACTACTTTGGCAACCACCTGTACAATGGAAGTGGGAAAAGTGTCTGTATAAAATATGAAAAATTGTTATCGTCCGACAAGGGAGAAAGGCTGTAACATCCCAACCCCCAGTACAGAGTCACGATGAGGGTCGCGACGGACGAAATGCAGGTGACACGGCGATAAGGGGTTTTTAAATCCGGACTACTCGTCAAAGGGGTGGATGCACGAAAAGACGGTGCTCCATCAACTTCAAAATCTTAGGACTAAAAGCCTAATTTCTGATTGAAGACAGCAAAGAGCAAATCCCAACGGACGGTGAAAAATTTGAGAAACGCAGGTCTCTCCATTCTCATAGTCTCTAAGAAACCGTACACTATATGTTTTCGCCGTCCTTGTAACATTAATCTAGGCAAAACGGACTAGTAAAAATAACAGTTAGTTTTATAACTAAAACAAATATAAACCTAGTAGTGTCTCAAACCGCAGTGTTATGACATAAGTGGACGTAGCGTTTGTATTAGCCTGCTACTCGGAGGTTATTTTTTTATCCAGTCTACAATAATTAAAGAAAGATTTGCAAAATTTATCGCACAAGACGGACGTTTTCCATCCTTCAACATGCTTTGAGGCCTTAAAAATCAGAAAACATGTGCTTGTACGTGATTAACCTGCAGTCGTAAGCTATAAAAGTTCTGCCAGGGCTATAAAAAGGACGAGGCGGGAAGTAATGAAAAACGTGTGTGCCATCTAAAACTCCACCGAAGATGGTACAGAGAGGGTTGCTCGACACAGTCTAAACGCAGAAAGATGCTATAAAAGCATTTTAATTTGACAGATTTTCTTCTCTGCGCGTACGAGTGTTACCCTGCGTTGATTTCAGCCTTGTCGGTTGGCTTAATCGCGCTGACACATTCAGCTAACACACGCAGCTTCTAAGTCACTGAGATGCAGGTGTGCACTGTTTGTCAGCCAATGCCAATAGGTTAATTAGCCGTCTTACTCGGACAAGCGCTCTGTTCATTGTGAGATGAAGTATGCTCTCACGAACTAGATACAAGTTTTGGAAGCACATAAGCCGACTTACTGACGTTGCTCGCACTATCTGGTTTAAATACGGTCAGCTACCGCTGGTTTTAA